TTTACCTTTTTATTTTTTGTAACCTACTTATCAGCCAAAAAATGTTTCTATAGTATTTAACCAGTTGATAAACTCTCCGGATAACGTCAAAGTCAGGAATATCAACCTTCATGTCGATAACTTTAGAGTGGTGCCTCTCACGTCTAGGTCTTCCGTCGCTATCCTCCTCTCTCAACTCCACATATGGAGCACGATGGTGAAAAGTATTAAATTTGACATCTTCGTGGGTGGAAAGATCACCTTCTTGCCCATTATTGATGTCCTCGAGTTGCTGCGTAAGCTGCCAATCTTGCTTTCTGAGGTCTTTAATCCTCTCCTCCGAGGTCACGAAGTGAGTCTAGAAAAATCCTCTTTCCATGATCCCTTCTCCTTGCTATTGGGTTCATGGAAATCATGAAACCTGGGCAGAAAACGAATAAAACCTAACTGAGATCTGCAAGATCTTGGCAAAATTTAGCAAACCTTGGGCTGAAATCAACAAAAAGTTGGCTGATAGCAGCAAACCTTAGCCCGAAATCAACAAACTCCATACTTGGTTGTAGTTATCTAGCCTTACGGTCGAAGAATCCTGAGCTCTGATACCAAATTGATGTAGAAAATTTAAAGAAGGATAGAGAATCAGCAATATTTCAGACCGACCAAGCACAAGTAACCAATAGAAGAAACAATAGAAGAAACCTAGGGTTTCTTCCTCAACCCAACTAGGATTTCAAATCCTCAGTTTTTCTGTCTTTTTTTTTTCCAATATGAAAATCACTGGTATCCTCCCTCTATGCCCCACAAACCCCTTTAATAGTATTATTTAATATTCTAAGGACATTAAATATCCATAAAATAATTAAAATTACTCCAAAAGTCCCCACTTAAGTTACTTGAAAAATAAATGGCCTTGACTAAAATGGCTAGAAAGTCCCCAACTTGTCCAGAAAGTAAAAGCAATTAAAATAACCTAAAGTAACCGTAAATAACTAGAAAATCATCCCAAGCAATGCTTGCTCTTCTTATTCTTCTTGGTAGCCCTCCTAGGGTTCATGTCCTCCTGAGATACACAAGAATTAGGAGGAATATGCTGCTCCCGTAGGAGATACTCACCACTCTGTCCACTTGATGCACTTTGCGCATCATCAGATATAGGTCCCCCTAGGAGACCATGTGGGTCCCATTAGGATAAGTTTTCCTTATTGCTTTATTGCATTGAAGTTCTATTTGTAAATGGAGCTCTACCTTGTATGATAGGACTTCTTAGTTTCCCATTTGTTTGAGTTTCTTTTACGTTTAAGTGACATTGTTTCCTAATTATGTGGGTACCCTTTTTTATGTACTAGGAGGCTTAGGCAAGTCTTGAGATTGCTTGGTGTCTTGGCCAAGGTAGGATTGGGGTCAAAAGTCGCTATAAATACTTGTGAAGGCCAAGGGCCAGAACCTTGCTTTGAGTAATAAAATTGCTTCTTTGTGAGCTTTGGCTGTGCTGATTCCATCTTTTCTGTGCTCCAGATTACACGACTTCTTCTGCTGATTCCATGAAAACCTTACTTGTATGGTACTCCTTCCTTACCAAGTTGGGTTCTTTCCATCTCCATCCTAACCCTAATTTTTTTCTGGTGCCTGTTCAATATAAGGTTAGTTTCTCTCCCCTCACTATACCCTACACGACCTTCTTCAAAACCTTGTTGTTCTTAGAACAGTAATCATCTGTTCAACCTTAACTCTTACTTGCAACCTACTCTAACTTCTCCTGTTTTTTCACGCTGTTTTCATTCCATAAAAACATTAGTTTCTCCTACATCCATGCACACACCTATAAATTATCTTTTCTAAACCTAAACCATAAAAAGAATGCTGTCTGACTAGGATTCGAGGAACCTGATTCACTTATCGATACTTGCTAAGTCCAGTACAACACAACCGTACAACTTATGCCTGTCTATATGCATAGTTATGTAAAATTATGCATATTTATGTAAAATTAATTTATGACTTTTTATTAATAAGTCTTTTTTTGAAGACGGTGACACTATATTACTAAATTTCAATATGTTCTCATTAGAAGTGAGAGAAAGGCAGCCCACAGAATGCTCTTTATACACAAATTGTTTTGTATGGAAAGGCGTGGTGGGGGGGGGGGGGAGGTGTGAGAAAGGAAGGGGTTGGAGAGATTAGAGTATTTAGTGTAGAAGTGAGATGGAGAGTGGGTGAAGAGATTGAGTGGAGACAGGAGAACTAAAGTGGGAGGAGAGGCTAAGATGGGGAGAAAGGGTTCAAGTCACTCAAAAGGAGGCAGTCCACCTTGTTGAGTGCTCTATACAAAAAAATACAAGTTTAAGAAGAAATCGAGAAAGAGAAAAGAGAGAAGGCAGCCATTGGAGGGGTGTGATTATCAAAAAAGAATAGGGGCCACCAACCAATTGGGTGCTCAGCTAATGATGAGAAGGTAGTGAAGACAGTCCACAGATCGGGTGCTCAGAGTTTGGCTGCAGTTGAGTTTGAGAACCATAGTTTTGGATGGTTGTACCTGCCGAAAGGATGAAAAGAGAAAAGGGGGGAAAAAGAGATGGAGTGATAAAGTTCTAAGAGAGTGGGATAAGAAGAGAGGAGAGGTGGAAAGGAGAATGACAATGAAGAATGAAGTTAGCTTGACAAAAGTTGAACATGTTGGTCCAAATCAAAGACATGTTTGTCCATAAGACATGTACGGTCCCAATGTATTTCAAAACAGACACGTGCCATACAAAATGCAGAAGCAGATCTTGTTCTGCCTGTGGATTCGTGTGTCTACAAGGCAGACACGTCGTGTCTGCGAATCCAAAAAATGAAAAATTTCAGACATGCACTTCAATGCGTATTTCATGAGTATGCATTCGTGTATAGTGTGTTGGTGTGTCGGATTCTCCTAAACATGCGCAGCACTCGTGCCCTTGTTTCATAGCTGTCTAGTTCTAAGAATAACAGATTTTCATATATAATTGAGTTCTAAGCACGTATTCCTCAGGCATGTCTTTCGTGGATCTCCAGGCAATAGCTCCAAATATGTTTAAGCAATCAAGAGAGCAGATTTTAATAAAGTATTCTGAAAGTTTTGTTGTACATTTCATCTTGATGGTCATTTGATGGCTGAAAGGGCTTCTTAATCCAATGACAGATGACAGTCTTGTGGTAATGAAGGACCTCATGTCAAACTATTGTATTATGGGTTTTGCTAATGTCTTTAAGAGGTGAATGTGATGGGTGATAGTTTGGCTAATATGTGTGCTACTAAGAATATAGGAAATTTATGGAATTATGTGCCACATTGGTTTCTATTTTGGGATCCTTCCTTTTTTTCATACACACGTGCATGGACATACTTGCACACATGTATATTGATTTGTCACCTGATGCTCTGATTCAAATTCGACCTCCTTTCATTTAAAGATGCATGTTGGACCTAAAGTTTCACTGGTTGATAATCGCGACCATCATGCCCATGAATGTTAAAGAAAAATATTGAACCTTAAAAATTCAACTATTTTAAATTTGTCTTTGACTGTTCATTGTAATCCTTTGCAGATCAATAGATCTGCACTACTCTTTTAGGTTGTTATATCATGGATTTGTAGCAGACTTGCATCTAGTTGATAAGGATGTATTTTAGATCCTAAATCCATCTATACGATGGATTTTTGAAGGCAACCACATTTGGAAAGGAACATACCATATGCTTTCTCATACATGCACGTATATATTTATAGATACACACACACACCACATATATTCAAAATTTAAAAAGAACTTAACATGGAAGGTGTAAGCATGAGAGTTGCATTTCTTTGGACTGATGTTATTTAAATTTTGTGCTAGACTTTTTGAAGATGATTTTATTGTCCAACTCCTTGTACTTTATTCTTAGATTTAATTTTAATGGTGCAATGTATACCTTAGTGATGCTGTGATCTAAAATAGTCTTTTGATGTAGATCATTGCTCATTCTTCTGGACATTTTAGTGTCATGAGTAAATCAACATAGCCCTTGAATGCTTTGACACTTTGATAACATTAGAGAATATATTTCTCAAAAAGAAAGGAAAAAGCAAAAGATAACATGGGAACATTATAGTTATAGTAACTCTTGATATTACAGTTATGGCTCTACAATTGGACAAAGTTGAGGACTTATCTGACCCTCGTGTTTTGGTTTGCATTGGGAGATTACCAATAAAACGTCTTCTGCTCATATAGAACATCATCCTCTACCATTGGTACAATTTTTTACGGCAGAAACTTTAAATACATCACTTTGATTCAAGTAGTGTATATTGATGCAGCGAAATTTGAGGGAAACAGTAAAAACAACAAGGAGCAAGCCAAACACAAGCACAAGTCGAAGAAACCTAGGGTTCTTCTCCATACCCCAAACTAGGGTTCCAAAAGCCTATGTTTTCTCTTTTTCAATTTCTAAAAATGTGGAATTCCCCTCTCAAGGCCCCACACATCTCTTTTATATTATAATTCAATGTTCAAAGACATTACATGTCCGATTAAAATGACCTATCCTAACTTAAAACTTAAATTTCTTAATAACAATTTTACCCCTGTGAATAGTACCCATGAATGGTACTCATGAATAGTACTTGTGAATAGCTTCTATAAAATAAACAAAAAAATATAAGAACCTTAGAATCCCAAAAAAACTAAAAACCCTAGAAATAAGCCCTAAAAGAAAACTTTAGCATACATCCTTTAAAGTTGAATAAAAATAAAGACTAATATCAATGTTTCCATCCATCATATATTTAGAATCAAGTTGTGTAAAGATTGTTTGCCTGGTAAAAATGGCCTTGGCGTTTAAAAAAAAAGGGTTCTTTTTCCTGTCAGAAAAAAAATAGGCTGTGTTTTTGAAGTTTAGGTTGATAATATATTGTTAGTACTTGCATAGTCTGTAATTTTTTTTTAGAATTTTTTTTTATAATTGTTTTTTCGTATTACTAATTAATGAAATGTATGTAATGGTTCTCTTTCTTTAGAATCATTGTTCAGATAGGGAGAAGGTTTCTTTCAGTGATCCATTGACACAACACAATGTGGAACCTGTGATTTTCATGGGTGAAGATGTCAAATTTGTATCTAAAACTGCTGTAGGAGGGGACCTGAAGGAATTACATGAGGTATCTAGAAAGGAATGGGTCAACTTTAACAGGACCTTAATGCAAAAGTTCCCCGTTGCGAAGACAATCAGAATTGCATCAGTAAGTTTATTTTCCTTCTTTATTTTAGACACATATCTTCAACTTAAGAGAGTAATCCCTTTTTTATAGAATTCATGAGGCTGTTAATTAACAGTATGGTGTTTGGTATTTGAATGTGGTAGCCAATCATAGCCAATGTTTGAGAGTTTTCCCTGGAAAATCAAGTTGATTTGATTATATGGCTTCAATAAAACTCTAAAACTGCGGGAATAAATTGGGTAGTTCAGCTTTGTCGTCAATGGAGAGGTTTGTACCCTAGACCTTTATCAATATAAATGGGGGAATGAATGGAAAGGTTTGTACCCTAAACTCTAGAACTGGGGGAATACATTGGGTAGCTCAGCTTGGAATAGGATTTAGTTATTGATTGTGATGATTGGAATACCCATTCAAGCCTTTTGGCATTTTGCATTAGAAAAAACTACTTATATCATGTAAATGGGTATACCTATTATTCATCCTCCCATTTGCATTTTTGATAAAAAGATTACTTATGTCATTTTAATGGGTATACTATTATTCATCCTCCCTTTTGCATTTTTGATAAAAAGACAATCCTTAGGTTGTCATTTGATGGATTTTGTAAAATTTAGCTTTATTGTTCAAATCGTTTGAAGGTTGAACACTCTCAAAACTTGTAGAGCACATGGATCTTTTAGATTTATCCATCTCTGGAAGTTTCATGTACTTTCATCATTTTCGTAGAAGCTAGTTTTACCCTTGAATATTTTCCTTTTGTTACCATCTTTGCATTTATATTATTTTATGCTTCTGATGCCTACCTCAATTATCTTGGTGCACAGACATCTGATGTTATTTTCAGAAATGCCAAAGGTCTGGTTTCTGATATAGTGGTGGGATCCTTTTTCATTGGAAACACTTCTTTGCATAATACAATGAATCTATATTTATAAGGCTTTATCTGAAACAAGTGTGCTTGATGCACTATGTAGCATCTGGAAGGTCTCTAACAACCTTGCGCCTGGAAGAACTAGATGATCCCCAAAAGATAGCTGTACAGGAAGTGAAAGTCATCACCCAACAGGATTATGTGTTGAGGTTGCGTGAATTAAATGATGAAATAGCTAAAGCATGGAAATTTGAAGATCGTGTAACAGCTCTGAAACTGTCTATCAAGGTAAGAATCTGAGATGGACTTATATGATTCACATGCAAGCTGTTGTTGAGAGCCTCTCTGTCCTTGCATTTTCACATTTGTCACAAATTGTGTACCGTCTTCTTCACATTTGCTGTCGCTGTTTAAACTTTTTGTGATGGATATGGGTCTTTGATAGTTAACTAGTCGGTGTAAATCATAATCATCATTTGCTCCAGGCTCTTTGGTCATTATTGTTGTTTGCGGGGGTAGGGGCGAGATCGTTGCTTGCTCAAAGTTCCCTGTTTAGAGAGCACATGGGATTACTTCCCCTGGAGTGCCCCTACATTACATGTATGTATAACATATTATCTATGTACCTAACCTGGGAACTTTTGCGAGGGAGTGGCCCTAGAATATGTTATATTTGCCCAATTTCATCATATGTACTATTGTCTGTTTTATATAAATCGAGAGGAGGACCCTTTTTATTCTTTGGCCAAGTGTCCTTTTTTTGTTTTCAATTCTATCCTTTTCCTTTTATATTATATCCATTTCAATATTTTGTCTTTAATTTTTTGCATTATTCATATTGGAAAGTGATACTTTTTTCCCCCTTTTCATACACTCTCTTAAATGAGTTATTAATGTATATCTCTATAACAATTCCTATTATTAAGTGGTAGGAGAAACGTTTCTCTCTATGTCCATGCCCTCTCTCTCTATTTTAAAAAAATGCTTTCCTTTTTTCATGCACTCTCTTAAATGATTTATTAACATGTTCCTCTTTTTTAGATTTTTACCTGCTCTCTCTCTCTCTGTTAGATCTTTTCATGCTCTCTCTCTCTCTCAACATATCCCATCTGTCACCCTATCATTGTCTCTCTTCCATGTCTTTTCCTTCTCTCCCCTCTTTTCCTTCTCTCTTTCTCACTCTCTCTCCCCCTATCATTTCATTGAAAATATTTGATTTATCTCAATCTCTCTCTTAACATGCATATTGAAACCCAATCTTTACCTATCCGCTCACATCTCAAATTCCATGCATTATCTCTCCCTTTATCTTTAATAAATGCTCCCTTATTTTTTGCATAATGTGATCTCTCCCCCTCTCTCTCTCCTTGCTAGAATATTTTAATATAGGTGGCATTAATAATTTTATGGCAATGGATATAGGTAATATAGTAATAGCTCATTCAAAAAAATAAAATTATTTGAAGAGTAAAACAGCATGAAAAGATGGATGCCTCTACCTATTTCTTAGAAGGGTCAGCATAGTCTTTGCAAAGCATTTAAGGATTTTTGTAGAAATTGGTCATTATTTTCAAAGCACAAAAATTATTGTCAAAAATGAATTTGATCTTAAAAATCATTGTTAAAAATGAATTTTGATCTTAATACATTTCTACTGAAAAACAAAAAATAATTCACTAATAAATTCTAATGCCTTAAAATTTCAGATCCACAAACATATAATCCAATTTTCTTATTTATAATATTTCTATCAATACTATGTATAGGAACTTTGTTAAACATATTTGTAACATTTGAATAATTTATATATTTTTAATTTCAATATTCATGTTCGAAGAGCCTTACTTTATTTTTAAGTTAAATGAAATATTGGTGTTATTTTTAGAATTTTCGAAAAAGTATAGATATAATTGCTAATTTTGTATTTTAATAATTTTTATAATTATATTTTATGGTTTTGTAATTATGAATTTATAATTTCAAAAAAACATGTGATTAATATACTTGCTTTAACTTTTCGAGAATCTTAAGTAATATTTATTTAATTATGCATGTTACTTATCAAAAATTATTATTTATTTTTGCTCCTATCTCTTCCAGCTTCCCTTGCTATTTTCCATCTGCATTATGTCGCTCTTAATCTCTTGGTTTTGAAATTTTTTTTTATCTTATAAGGTATCACATTCTGTTATTTTTTATAAAAATATTATAATTACATTATTTCTTCTTCTAGTATTCTTTACGAAATTTTAAACTTCTTAATTATTAATTTTTATATTTTCAAATTGTCTATGATGTAATTCATTTCTTTTGATTGTGATTTTTAAAATTTACAATATACTATTTAGAAAACAAGCATTGTTTCTCATTTTGTAAAGTTTGAAAAATTCATATGTTTTTAGTTAGAATTTAATGTTTTATTTTATATATTTCACCAGTTGTGTCTCATTATTTTTTTGTAGTTTATGACACTTCTATCTTTCTCATGTCATCTCCTCTATAGGTATCTCTTGCTAAGACCTATAATCATCATCTCTTCAATATAAGGGAAGGATATTATTAGTCATAAATTATAATATGGAATGACAATTCCTGTGCTTAGTAAATAAAGTTGTATAGAGTATTTAAAAGTAAAAGTCTTCTTACTCCAAAATCTTCTTTGTTTTATTGCGTGCCAATAAAAATTCAACATTGTAAAATTCTAGAGCAAAGTGTGATAATCGAGTCTTTGTTTTTTTTTAATTCTAAAGTAAGTATGCGAGTTTATTTATTTATTTATCTTTTCTCGATTTTGTTTGCTGTTGCAGGTCACTAGGCTTCTATCTGATACATCCGTAAAAGAGTTTTATCCTACACTATTCGTTCTTGTTACGAATATTTTAGACACATTAGGTAGCTTGGTATGGGAGCGTATCAAAAGAAAGGCAGAATATGATGATAATGGAACCTTGGTCTGCTGTTTGCCTGGTTAGTCGTTACATTGGACTTCATTCTTGTTTGAATGTTAATTTCCTTTAACGATTTTAATGCTGTTCCCCCCCTCACGCTTTTTGGGGGCTTCCGGGGGGGACAGCTATGAGTCCGTTCCCTCACTCCCACTAGAATAGAGATAAGAATGACTATCCCACTCGG